AGAATGGAATGACGGACTGTCCCTACTGGTGAATTAGGCTAAAAAATTACTTTTACAAGCTTTTTATAGGGAAAACATGAATCAGCTGTAATTCCAGACTTACTGAGCTTGTCTCCTGAAGAGAAATAATTTGGTCTTTAACATTTCACCAAAGCTGGAAATCCTAAAGAAGGGTTTTGTGTGTGCTACCAATGCTGGTGGTTCTTGGTGCAGTTTGACCTATTGTGTTTATCACTGTGGTCTCCATCTAGTCTGTGGAGGGTTAGAATGTGGCAGGGGTGGTGCTCATAGGCCCTTGCTCCAAAGCTGGCAGTCCTGGAGCTGTGCTTGTTGGGGATACGAAAAGTGTACATCCCCAACGGAAGAGATAATGCAAACATTATCTCTTCTGCTCTATAATAAATTGACTCACTGCCTGTATGACCAAGGTAGCTTTTTAATAAAGAATGTTTTTTGTGTCCTGTAGTAAAGTAAGCAGTACATAAGTTAATGTTGTATATGCTGTTTGCAGAACCAATTAATTCAATACTTAAGTGGTTACTTTAAGCTTCTAAACATGCTGATCGTTCCTTCTGAGATCGCTATCACAAATGTTGCTAATGCTAACCTATTTCTCAAGTCTTTTGCTCAAATACTTGAGTGAAAAAATTAAAAAATCCGGTAGCTGGTGTCACAACAGCTGCTGATAAGGAGCTTGAAATTGTTTCTAACTGTCCAAATAAATTGGCAGCTTGCTTGACCTTTTTAGTAAATATCTGACTGTTGCCTCTGAGTTTTAAACTTTGAAACACTAAAGCTACTAAAATCCTGTCAAGTGTCTGAGCCTTGAGAATAGGCATTCATAGGCTCACAAATACTGGGGCCTCTCAGGATATTTCAGTCATTTGAGATGTCCATACTTGGTTACTTCCACCTAGTCTTTAACAATGACATGGAGACCTCTTTGTCAGCACTGGATAGCAATCCCCTGGAAGAGGGGAAAAAGCCTTTGTAGGCTTGATTCAGTTCACCAAGGTAAATTGAAAAGTTTGAGTAAACTCTTCTGGCTGTAAAAGTGTACTTGGTGCATTATTCCTCAACATACATGAGCCTCTCTTTTCAGAAAGGCATATCACCCCGAGACTTGTCCTAATACGCAAATGACCCCATGATAAACAAGTTAATCATCTGCCAGAAAATCGCTGAATAGGGGAGGTATAAAGGCTTTTGGTGGCAGAACTTTCTGAACAATGGCATACTGAAAAATAGTTCCCTTTGGTAGTTAAAATTACATTATTTGCTTCTATTTCTACTTCTGTTGACTTCTTTGACCAACTAATTTTGTTGTGAGCTTCTTAAATTTACTTGGCATTTCAATTCATGAATTGAGTAGACTGTGCGGTTACATAGTTGGCCAAAGCTATCACAGGTGGGAATAGTAAGCCAGATGCACAGTCCTTGAGACATGGCGAATGGTCTGTACAATAAAAAAGACCTTGAATTTTTACATAAAATACGTAACAATCCAAAGTAAATTTTATTTACGTGTGCTGCTGTATCTTAGCAACTACTGCATTTGGGGAAAATCTTGATTGTGACTCAGTAGAGAGCTTAGGGAATACAAACTTTTCTCTTTTCTATGCATTGATATCCCAGAGCACACAGAGTGGGCTGCTTTTCTGGCAGTAAAATAATAACTAGCTTGTAGTTCATACAGGTCACTACCCTGGAGGTGTTCAAGGCCAGGTTGGACAGAGCCTTGGGCGACAGTTTAGTGTGTGGTGTCCCTGCTCATGGCAGGGGGGTTGGAACTAGATGATCTTAAGGTCCTTTCCAACCCAAACCATTCTGTGATTCTATGATTCTATAAATTTTAGAAAGGTGCCCTGAAATCCTGAAGAATGCTCTTGAAAAACCTCCTGACAGCACTAAAGAAATGGAAAATGCTGTTTTATGTACACCTAAGAAGCAATGTCTGTCTTCTGAAGCACAGAGTGTATTGATCCCATGAATTTTAGATGAAATGACCTTGAAGCTTAAACTCAGAGTGCTGTTCTTACAACCTCTTATTCCTGATTGCTCTCTTAAATATTTGTCATCTTGGGACAAAGGGAAGGAAACCAAAACTAAACAAGAATAAAAAGGTTTGAAGTAGGTCCTTCCTTGATGTTTCTTAATATACACAGTCTGCCTTTTGTGTTCTGGGCTATAAATCCTGATAAATTGCACAATGTTTTGTCTTCCATAGTACTTTGATTGTCAAAAACTAACCAAAATACAGTATGCTGCTGTGTTATGGCTTTTAGATATCATGTTGCCTTTAGTATAAACGTGATTGTGCTTAAGGCAAATATCTTTTCTGCAAAGCACAGAAAGTTTGACAAATATTGTCAAGTTAATGGGAATGAAAGCCTCTGACATACCTCAGTTTTTCTTTGATGGACACATTTCTTGATAAAAGATAACTGATAAATTTAGTCTGTTTCATCTTTAGCTTGTAATGATGTTTGCCTCTTTCTCTGTGGGATAAATATGTAACTATTAAAAGAAGACCTGTTAATTTTTACTAATAAACTTTTCTTTTGGTCTTTTCTGTAGAAGTGACAGTGGTTTACCAAAATGGGTTACCTGTGATTTCTGTGAATCTTCCATCCCGGCGTGAACGTTGCCAGTTCACGCTTAAACCTATCTCAGACTCTGTTGGTGTGTTCTTACAACAGCTGCAAGCAGAGGACCGAGGAATTGATCGGGTTGCAATCTACTCAGCAGGTACTGTTGTTTACAAACTAATTGATTTACTTGCTTGCCAGCTATTTTCATCCAGCCTTTTGCTTTTTAAGTAGAAGTTTGCTATGCTGTGAGTTCTTTGATGTTCCTGAGAAAGTAGAAGGTGGAAATGTCATCCCTGGAGTAAGAATATTGTTGGCTTATCCCTCTGTAGTCAGGTCTGCCAAGGAAGTCTGTAGAGTGGAGGAGGAGGAAAACATTCCTAATGCTTGGCTTATAGGCATCAGTCCTAATGGAGATGTTTTTGATGAGTTTCCCACTATTTAGTAGGAAAGATGCAAGCTGTGTAACCGATGTAGATGTTCTAATTGCTTTGTAAGGAGTAAAGGTGTAAAAGGTCGTACAAGGGAAAATGGTGTCTTGCTTAGCTGTGAAGACTCAATCATGTTTCACTTAATGTCTGTCTTCACTGTTTTGCTCAATTGCTCCGAGTCTGCTAGCCACTAAAACCCAGAAACATTAAGATGTCTTATGAAAGCGTCATCAAAGTAAATATTTCCTTCAAAGTCTTGGCCTCAGAGGGAGGCGTTTGCGAGGTTAGTGACATCAAGCCTGTCAATACTGGAGACTGAAAGAGTTTGTAATGTCAGTGGGGAGAGATGAAGGTCACTTAAAAGTGGATTGTATCACAAAACATAATAGAATACTCAAAGTGTGCAGGATGAAGGGAACTGCTTTTTGTAAGATGACCCCAAATATGATATATATAGAAAAGTAGCTGCATGCAGAGCTCGGTTGGTATTTGCCATGTAACGTCTCCCAGTATATATACCTGTCTTGAAAAGATTATTGTGGGGGAAAAATGAAGAAGACCAACAGCTGGATTTGGGATGGCATTACAGCTTGGCCACAGCTTGTTTCTACTTTGTTTCTACTGCTTAATGAGTAATCTGTGTTTGCTTTACAGATGGCACACGTGTTGCCTCCTCCACAGGCATAGATTTACTTCTGCTGGATGATTTCAAACTGATCATTAATGATGTCGCATACCATGTTAGACCACCAAAGAGAGGTAAACCAGCCTGGTTCTGGTGAATGTCAGAAATAAATTTCAGTATTCAGTTCCCTGTTTAGCTGCAGCATGCTTTATTAACTTCTTCAAGAGCATGAAGTGTTATTTCTAAGGGGAAACTTTGCAGTTTCTAATCCTGCCCTTGGAGTCTAATTTAGTGATATACAAGTAATCGGAATAGTCAGTAATGAAAAGCAAATATTCATTCTGTTCAAAACCAGTACCCATAAGAGAAATAAATAAAGAAATGTAATTTCTTTTAATTTCTAAATTTTTCTGAATGTTCTGTACTTACTGAAAAGTAATTTAATTTAACTCATTCTGAAGGAGTATAATACAAAATGGGAATTAGATTGAAACTTAGGTTACGTGATTTGGAAGAATAAATTGTTCCCTCATCTGACAGTTAACCCTTGTTTCCTTTTAAGAGTGGTATTTTGAATATTGCCAATAAACCTTGAAACCTTGTTAACTTAGAAACAGCGAAATGGATGAAACCATGCTCTTACAAGGTTACGTTACTAAGAATCAAATAGGAAGGGAAACCAGCCTATTTTGAATCAATAAGAAAATCCTTTTAAAAAATGGGCTTTGGACACTTGTGTAATTTTCAAGATGTGAAAACTGGCAAGAAACTTTTGAGATGCTGCAGAGTTACTGTCAGAGGCAGGAACTTGGTGTTTTCATCTGCTGTCTATTCTTTCCCATAGGCAACTTTATAGGCTTCATAAAGCACCAGGTTCTTGCATGTCTATACTTGCCCCTGAGGACTTAAACAAAAGGACCAGTTTTGGAAACGTTCATTTTGTTGCGTGGCTCACAGATAGTGGTGGATCTTTGTCTGTTGTTGCAGGCAATAATGTGAAGTTTGCAAGCAGTATTTTTTCTTAAAACCCTGTTTAGACCTGTAGACAGCAAACAAAATTAGGAAGGATTTATAACTTGACTTGCATGTCCAGTTGAGGTGAGATGGTGAAAATACCTTCCTTTATTTATCTGGTGTTTTTCCTCAGTGTTTGGGCTTTCCTCTCTTAAAGCAGTGGATAACAAACAAACTAACTCAAAGGCAAAAGCTGTGAGGGAACTGTTAATGTTCCTTTTGTCATCTTGACAAGCCTGAATAAGGCAACATGTTAAAGCAAGGTAATCTATCAAAAACAGGAAGACTGACCATATCTTTTGGGTCTGAGACTAACTCGAGTGGCTGACCTCTAGAAAGATCTGCTGATATATGCCATCTTCCTCTGCAGATGTAGCTAATTTCCAAGGACCTTTTTGCAAGGAAAATAATAAAAATATATTCTAGTGTTTCATTGTTCACAATGTGAAAACACCAAGTAAAAAGAAATTTCACATTTGGGAAGCTGTGTGCAGCCTTGTATGTGCAGTATGTGGGAGAGCCTGGAATTGGGAATACAGCATTGGGTGAAATGCCATTTCTCCCTTATCTTTGGGTTACACTGACTTCCACTAGAGAGAGTTTTTTTCCCAGACTTCTTAAAAGCTTCTGAATAGAAAACTCTAAGACTGGATATTTAAATCACTAGATATTGCACACACACACCAACAAGTTACCCTCTGCTGTCACCTCACCACTCTGTCCTCAGTGTGCTGTTTTCACACACTTAGAAGGCATTATAAGCCAGAGAAGTGGAGTGAGGATTTTAACAAAGTACCTCTTCTAACTATTAGCCTCTGAAAGTGGGGGCATGATATCAAGCCTTACTGGTCTAGTCTGTAATTTTTAATACAAGTAAATGAGAATGGAAAACATGGTGTCTATTTCTGCACTGGAGAAATTGGTGGCCTGAGGTAAGGCAATTCATACATCCCACTTACCTGCTGTTTGAAAGAGCAAAATCTGTGTCAGTGAGTTGGTATGGTTTTCAGTTAGCTTGCTTGCATGATATACCCATTGTGTGCTGGTAGGTGAGCTATGGGATCACCTAGGTTACATGAAATTGCCACCTCCGATTCATTTGCCAAGGAGATTTCTATACTTAGTTTGTACTAAAATGAATGCGCCCATAAATAGGCCCTGAGATTAGTTCTGTTAAACTTTTCTGCTATTGCTTTTCCATTTTTATAAAATCACCCTGTGTATTTTGAAATGGAATTGCAGAACACTAATGTTAAATACTAAATACCTTTTGATGGTCAATTCAGTAGAAACGTGGTGTTTTTCTTCAGAGGGGAACAGGAGCCCTTTAGGTGGGAGAGGGATATGGTGTGCTTTTTGCGCCTTGGCACAGACAGCCAAGTCGCTGCTTTCCCTTGAGCTGCTAGTGTTAAAACTTCAGCTCTCCATAGCTTATGTCTTGGTAAAATCGTATTTTGAGAACATAACCTAAGGTACAAACCCAAAGAGGCTACAAAAATTAATTTTATCTAATGTAAGTACCTTTGCTTTAATCTGAAAGTATTTTTTTTTTCCCCATATGGAGTGTGTAATACAATACCAATAGTCACAACTCTCTTACAAATTTATTTCTTTTAGGAATCCTTATGCATTGAAATGGGGTTATAAAAGCAGTTTCAGTTAGTGGCCCTGTTAGTGTCACTATTAACATATGGTGAGGGAGAATTTCATTGCCCTGTAGGCAGCACAGGAGGGTGGTGCCCACAGAGTGTTGGGAAACAATTCCTGGCATTGGTACTCAACGTAAGTATCATAAGGCTGCATGTTCTGGGCCACTAATCCAAGATGCTGGGTTGCCCTCATCAGTAACTGTGGTTGCTGATGGTCTGTAATCTGGGTTCTGGCTGTTTCTTGACAGCTGGTGTGATGGATCATACTAGTTTAGTTGTTCATTTGTCTTTAAGTCTTGTATATAAGTATGGGATCAGAAGTAGCTGTTGATATCTGGGAAGCTTAATAGTATCTCTCGTCCTTGTTCTTATCAAATTTTAGGACGATCCAATAATAAAACCTATTTTTCTTCTGAAGAAATGGTGTGTCTTAGAGTGCTGGGAGTCTTCCAAAGGCTTCTTTGTTGAAAAGATAGCTTCATATATTTCCTGTGCAGACTAATAGCAGTTTCTCAAGAGTATTGTGAGAAGTTCTGTGCATATAAAGCAGTCTCTTTTTTTTTTCCTAGAGCTCTTAAGCCATGAAAATGCAACGACGCTGAATGATGT